CGACACAAACGTAAGCTGACCTACCATTACAGCTTCCGGTTATCTGGATTACTATCACTTTCTTGTTTAGAAGCCTTTTTAATTAGTTTCTTTGTTGTTCCCTTCATTTGATTTTCCTTATTATTACTATCGCCAGCACCGTCAGATAAACTGTCATCTGTTTGTGTGCTAGAGTCCGTACAACGTCCTCTAACAGAATATTCACTTTCTCCTGAATCACTAGCCTTTCTGTCCTTTCTTGCCTTTGACCCACGACCTACCCCACGATGCCTGCGTTTTTTCTTATTTAGGCCGTTGGCTTCTTGGGTACGGGTTCGGCCTTCACACCCGACCCCCTCCAGTTTAAATGATTTGTTGTCCTGTTACCATTCTCAAGGCAATCTCTTTGTATGTGCCCTTGCTTGTTTACACTTGTAACATGTCCTTTCTGCTAAACGTAATTGACAACGTAACCTTATGTGACCTGGCTGCCACCATGAAAACAACCATCTTTTCTTGCAGTCCCTCTCCCTCGACCATGTCCAACGACAGTACCTGATGACATCTCCTTTAGCATGTCCATCATCTGTCTAAACTGATCGTTAGATGCACCTTGAGGTATAACCTGAAGAGGATCTTTCGCCTTGTCACGCGTAACACGCGTTTCTTTAAGCAAGTCCATCATTTCCTGAAACTGCTAACCCGAAACTCCTTGTTGAACCGCACTTGTCTCATACACATGTGGAGGATCTTCACTTCTGTCACGCGTAAAACGCGTGGGCTTGGATTTTCCATAAACTGCCTGGTGTACATGTTGGTACCACTTCACATAATCTATGGCACCCTCCATTGTTTTATGTCTCTGGACACAAGCGTTCTGAGCCGATGGTTTATCATATAAACCTGAACAGAATCGGGTGATTGCCTGTAAAAAAGAACAAAAAATTACGTTTCCGGTTTCAAAATCACCGCTTGCAGGAAATATTGAAAATCACAACGTTCCGCGCATGCACTACGCACCGTAAATTACCGGAAACTTACGAAGTTCGCCGATTTACCAAAATTACAAATTCAGAGTCCCGAACCAATTTCCACTCCTAAACGCGATCTCACGAAACTCAAAATTACAGCCGAGGACCTTAACACACGAAACTTTTAAAATTTAATCCGCCAAATTGTCTCAAAAGCTGCAGAAAGCCAACAGCGAGAACCCGCAATGTGACGTCACATGCGCCGCACGCCTACCGATTCGCTGTCAAAAAACCAATCTGCCCGATCCCAACATAAACAATTTATCCTGCCGACAACGCCAATAAAGTGTGCGCGTGTTTAGGCTTTACAATTCAACAATTACACAGCGTAAAACGCTACGAATGGCAATACTAAATCCTGCTAAAAACCCCGCGAAGTAACCGACGCCATTACCATAAACCAACTACCCAGAGTGCACTTCGAACCCCGGGAAAAAGGCCATCCATCCCGTACCGTAATTATCCGGATAATTAGTAAACACTACAAATTAAAGAAATAAAAATAGGGCCAAAGGCGAAGATACTCACATAGACGATAAAAAAACAACAAGGGCTACAAGCAAAAGAGTCACCAAAACAGTATGAAACAACATTGACATATATCTCAGGAACACAGAGGGGCGCCGCCTTGTAACGGTCAGTTGCTGGGGAAATTAAACGTTGTCAAACGGTGCTACGGAAGTCATTGGTTCATATTTAATGCCAAAATGAATTCACTAGTTGCTAAGACAGTTATACCCCGAGTTTCAACCGCCACATGAATACATCTACGGATGTTTCAAAATTCCAAATTTTACCAGCTAATGTTAAATGTTGAAAACTGCTAAAGCCGGTGCTAGAGGGCGTGGACGGTTACTTGCACATTCCATTACCGTATATGAACAGGCTCAATGAAACTGAACCTGCATAATTTTCAATTTTGTCGTTTTGTGCGATATTTTTGGATTCTTTATTTCTCTCTATTTTGGCGAATTTTGACCATTTTGGTCTACTAGACAATATTAGAGCACATTGTTCTCAGGTGAGCTAAAATACGTACAATGCAAATCAATATTTTTTATGCTTCAATATTTGTTTAATCAGTTAATGAATATTTGGTCTGGATATTTTAAACAGAAATCTTTTTTGTATTGATACTTAAATTAAATAGGCCAGTGCGTATCAATCAATCAATACGTTGACAAATATTCTTTGTGTGTGTATATATATATTGATATGAATTATCAATATATTGAAGCCATCTAGGCAACAAGTGTTTTTGTTTTTACTTCAAACTTAAACCTTAGGAATAGGAGCAAACATATTAAAAGCAAGGGGTAAGCGTTTTTATATTTCTCGCGAAAATAAACATTTTTAATAAATAGTTTTATAACTTCTATTTAACATGATTTTTTTATATTATATTAATGTAACAGCAGTTTATTCTAGGAAATAGGGGAAAAAATGTGAATGAGTAAAATATACAGACAATAGACAAAAAGTTAGAACAGAATAGTATACAGTTATTTTATATGTGATTTGGGAACAGTCAAACTGTTGGCCCGAGGTGGAGGGGGAAGTGTTTTTAACTGTTGTCCAAGACCGTAGGCCGAGGGAACAGTTCAAAATACTATAAAATAGTGATAAACAGAATCCCTAAAGAAAGCCCACACATATCCCCGACACCGAGGGACAACTGTTTGACTGTTCCCAAATCACATATGAAATAACTTTTTATTACCTGATCAATTAGTGTTTAAACAGTACTTGCAGAAGAAAAAAGGAACAAGAACATAGTTTTGCACATATGTTAATAATTAAACTTAATACTTTAACTATGTCACGCCACATCTGGTTTATGATCAGGGTTGATGGACGCCTCAAGTGAGCATCTTCTATGACGTCAATAACATCAGAGCATGCGAGGGAAACAGTCGAAACTATTGACCGGTCAACAGTTCGCGAACGTTGATATTTTTAGAACTTCAGAAACCAGTTAAAATACCAAAATACATTTATATAAGGTATCATGTAATAAAATGATATATTTGATTTCATAGCTTTTCTTCAATTTGCATGTTTATAGCATTGTTTTCTTTTGGTCTCAACTACGAAAGCGTCCTGGTGCCAATTCATAATGTTCTATAAAAAAATAACTCCTACGTAGGAAATTAAAAAGCCTAATTAGAAGTTTGTAACTCTAACGTAGGACCTATAAAGTCCTGCGTAGGTTTTTATAACTCCTTTGTAGGAGTTTCTAAAAAAAAAAACAAGAATAAAGATCAACAAGGCAAAGGCAACGTTCACAGGACGCGGCCCCGACACACCCAAGCATGGCACCAAAAAGGCACCAAACAAAAACCCGGAGTGGACACAAGGGTGAAAGGAGTGGGACATGTAATGTGAAATAATAAGTCCTACGTAGGACTTTATAACTCCTACGTAGGAGATAAAAAAAGCCTTATTAGGAGTTTGTAACTCCTTCGTAGGACTTATAAAGTCCTACGTAGGTTTTTATAACTCCTACGTAGGAGTTTATAAGTCCTACGTTGGACTTTATAATTCCTACGTAGGAGATAAAAAAGCCTAATTAGGAGTTTGCAACTCCTACGTAGGACTTATAAAGTCCTACGTAGGTTTTTATAACTCCTACGTAGGAGTTTATAAGTCCTACGTAGGAGTTTATAACTCATACGTAGGAGATAAAAAGCCTATTTAGGAGTTTATTACTCCTACGTATGACTTTAAAACTCCAACGTAGGACTTTTTAACTCCTACGTAGGAGATAAAAAATCCTAATTAGGAGTTGGTATCACCTACGCAGGACATAATGACTTTATAAGAAATGCATATAGAATGCTTTGCAACATCTCAACATTCCGGACCGGTATATCGACAATGGAAAAAGACCCCCCCCCCCCCGGCTGAAATTACAAATCTTAAATATTGATGACATTTCACCTTTGGTTTATACAGAAATTATTTAAGTTTGATTGTGTAGGAAGCTATAAGCTTATAGACACACTTTCGAATCCGTTCCTTGAACCAGTCAGTACGTACTGAGCAATGAGTGTAAAGTTTCTTGCTCAAGGAAACAACGGCTTGCGCCTAACGGGGTTTGAACCCATGCGGCTAACGATCATTAGGTTACTAGTCACACGGTCATGACGCCACACTTTACCTTTTAATAAAGTGTATCAGGTTTCTAGACTGTACAGTGTCTTAGGGTGAGGTGTCTGTAAGCATTGGCGCTGTATCTTCCAAATTTTAAAAGGCTTTAAAGATTACTTCTTTTATACGAACTAGCTGAACAAAACGAGCAATTTATCCATTTTCGGCCGTTTCAAATGATTAAATCCTTATAGGGCAGAGGAGTAGTGAAATGTCTTGTTTTTGCTCCGTAAAGTTTAAGAAGAAAACGGTTTGCGGAGCATTATGCATGCATATGTTTAATAATGAATTATATCCTACAAAGTTTAACCCATACATTTTGTGTACATGTGTATAATCAAAATAACTAAACGTACATAATACAGAATCATCGTTTTATATATGCAGAGAATGACAAAATCATCTCTGGCTACAGATTAAGGGTATTTACTAAAGCGGCTTGACACAATCACAACTAGACACGTATAATTTATTTTCCTACATAATATGCTATCTTAAGTGATACTCTAGCAAACATGTCCGTCGAACTCTGTGCTTTCAGTACTTTGATATGTATCCTACGTAGGAGTTATAAAGTCCTACGTAGGAGTTACAAAGTGCTACGTAGGATTTATAAAGTCCTACGTAGGAGTTACATTTTATAATCTGAAACCCATAAGTAGTTTTTATGACTTTTAAGTGACATACACACGCACACACCAACACTTATTCACATGCGCATATCCATATGACTTGTTCATTAAAAATACAACAACAACATTAACATCAAAGAAAGTGTGATAAAATTTTAAGATAATTTTTACTACTTTATGTTTCAGTATTGTGTCAAAATATAAACTGATGGCTGAGCAAAGTAGTGTTGTATACTCGACTCTAACAGATGAGGATGAAAAAAGCTTTGAAACTATATTTAACAAACGTGGAGTTACTGGTTTATATGAATATTCTCGTCGAAAATTAGATTCGTGGCTAAACGTTTCTCTAAACATCGCAGTCACGGGAGGATCAGGGAAAGGAAAATCAAGTTTCATTAATGCAATTCTCAATCTCAAAGTGGACGATGAGGGGGCTGCTTTTACAGATGTCAAAGAAACAACACTGGAAAGAAAAAGATATGAACATCCTGCAAACAAGAACATAGTATTTTGGGATTTACCTGGAGTCGGTACAAAACATTTCAAACAGGAGGATTATTTAAATAAAGTAAAGCTGAATGAATATGATTTTTTCATCCTTGTTTCTTCTGAGCGTTTTTCAGAAAACGACTGTTGGCTAGCTGAAGAAATTAGGAAGATGGATAAACGGTTCTTCTTTGTGCGTACAAAAGTAGATAATGACATCAACGCAGAGAAGAGGAGTAGGAAAAAAAATCGCCGAACACCGGAAACAATCCTAGACTTGATACGATCGGACTGTAAGGAGTGTCTTAATAATCTCGGTTTTCCTGAAAGCCATGTTTTCTTGGTTGACAATTTGTCGCCATACCTCTTTGATTTTGATCGACTATCAAAACAACTAATTGAAGATGCACCAAAGAGGAAACGGGAGACACTTCTTTTCTCCATTAAAGGATATGCTTGTCAAGTCATAAATGAGAAAAAAAAACATCTTGAAAAAAGAATCCCGTTAATTTCCTTGGGATCTGCAGTTGTGCCAATATCTGCAGCTGTTCCAATACCTGGACTTGGTTTAAGTGTTGATTTTGCCGTAATTATAAGTGAAATAACCTTTTACAGAGAACAGTTTGGATTGACTGATGATGATATAAAGGATACTGCAGAGTTTTTAGGATTGCGAGAAGAAGAACTGAAAGAAGAATTTGGCATCGGAACGTTTCTGCAAAAATGCACACGTAAAGGAATCATAACTCTCTGTTTGCAAGCTGCATATTCGGCTAATTCAGCAGAAATCTCCAAATATACAATCATCCCTTTACTACTAGGTAGCATCGCAAACGGAATGATATCGTATAGAACAACTTCATACTGCCTGACGACAATGCTTGAAGACATCTACAAGGTTTCGGTTAAAATTTCTGAAAAAATGAGTTCTGATATAGTAGAAACACCTCTTGATTAAAACGATATTATCTCTTAAAAGAACAACAGTATTGACATTATTTGTGTTTGGAAGAAAAATTACAAAGTGGGCAACAAGCTTTTTCTGAATTTTTTACGATTAAAATCAATATACAGTAGATTTTAAGAAAATTAACATTTACATTTGAAAAATTTATAAGATAAGAAATATACATTTAAGTAACTTTCCATTAGAATATTTGACTACAGAGTTTACCGTTCATATTTTTCATATATATGTAGAGACACTTCACTTTTACAAAGTGAGTACGATTTTGGGCATATTTAAAATAAGAGATCGTACACGCTCGTTTTATATTCAATTTCTGGCAATCTACATTTTAGTTAATTCTTATAAGACCATATTGTTAAAGTTAAATACTCATAAAGATTAAATATATTTTATTGAGCTTGCCTTCAAAGAAAATCAACAAAACTTCGAGACAGTCTATGTTAAAATTATCGCTATTTAGGAATTTGGTTTTGGATTATCGCTATTCAATAATCTTTTGTAGAACAATACTCCAAATGATATGTTTTACTGTTTTAACAAGGATAGAAAATACAGTATATATCTATGCATTATGACTTCATGTAGTAATTAAATAATTGTTTAGTTAATCATGCGCATGCAATTAATATAGATGTATATCAAATTGAATAATAAATTGATGATTTTTTTTTGAAAAAAAAAAACATGTGTATATTATATTGTTTGAATGCATATTATATATTAAATTTGCTTCCAAGTTAGTCTTATATTATCCATTTTTAAAATCCTCTACATATGCAATTTCCCAAACATCAATTTTGTGATCACTTTCGAAGGCAATGTTCCAGCATATTTTATGGTATCATCACTCTCACGGGCACAATAAGGAAGTGAAATATTGACAACATATTTGATACATATGGCTTAAAGGACGCTTGCATGCAAAATTAAAATAACCTACGCTACGGTAAACGAGTTATTGCCACTTTTCTGATCTTAAGATTGGATGTTATAAGGGTCCGTTTTCAGAAATGATGAAACGTTAAATAAACTACAATATCACCCATATAAAAACTTTTCCCATAACACAAACAATAAAATTCAGCGCACACACACACGCACAAAACCGATTGTGTCTATTAAAAATTTATGAAATATGTTTAAAAATGTTTCCCTACCCCATTCATTTTTACACGCCCGTTTGTAAAACTGGTCGTATTTTAGTTTCCCCCTGTCAGGCGGTGCCAAAATTATCCGGAGCATATCTCCTACATGCAAAGAGGAAACTTCATAGAAATGTTCACTACAATGAGAAGCTGTGAAAGGTCAAGGTCACACTTAGAGGCCAATAGAAAACGTTTGTCCTGAGCAAAACGTCTACATGCATTGGGTTTTTTTAATAGTACTTGACACACATGTTCACCATTGTAAGGCAGAGGGTCACGTGTAATATTTGAATCCCTGCAGCCAAGGTCAATGTCACACATAGGGGTCAAAGTTCAGATAAAATATGAAAATTTTTAATGTGTATTCGGACCTTTTAGTCATTATTTATTAAGGTACTGAAACACAAATAGTCATTATCATGACTACTGGTGTGAAACATGTGATTTAGGTTAATATATACAATCCAAGGTCACTAAAGATGATAGTCTAGGTCACAAAAGATGATAAGATGAAGAAATTTTCTCTTGAGCATATCTCCTACATATACGGAGAGATTCTATTGAAACTTCATACAAATGTTCACAACTTTAAGAACTAGTGTCATGTGCATAATCTAGGTATCCTGGTCAAAGGTCAAGGTCACACTTAAAGGTCATTGCAAAATGCTTGTCCGGAGCAAAATCTCTACATGCATAGAGCGATTTCAATACAACTTGGCACAAATGTTCACCTTTTATGACGAAGTGATGCTAGCAAAATGTATTTCCCTGTGACCAATATAAAGGTCACACATAGGTTCAAAATTCAGATAAAAATATAATAATGTGTATTCGGACCATTTAGCAATCATTTATTGGGGGATTGAAACACAAATGGTCTTTATTATAACAACTTGTGTAAAACATTAATTTAGTTTAATATATGCAAGGTCAATGTAACAAAAGATGATAAGATATAGAAATTTTGTCCATAGCATATCTCCTCCACGCATGGTTGGATTCTAATGAAAGTTCAAAGAAATGTTTATCACTATTAGAAGCAGTGGCACATGCATAAAACTTGTCTCTATGTTAAAGATTAAGGTCATAATAAGAGGTCATTGAAAAATGCTTGTTCGGAGCCGAACTTCTACATTTATCGGCGAATTTTAATGTAACTTGGCACAAATGTTCACCACTGTTCACCAGCTGTCAGTTTCTAGAGTGCACTCAAGTCAAGTTTATAAATTAGAAATTTGAATTGAAATAAGTGGTTACTTTATGCAAATTTTAGTAGAATTTTGTCATAAGGATATGTTTAGTTGAAATGTTGATTGGCATTATATGATTTAACGTAAGAGCAGACGCTTATCTGGCTGATGTTAAACAAATTTGAAATACTGTATTAAGAATTATGTAATTGCTTTTAGTCCCCTACCGGTTTAACCTGAGGGGACTTTAGGTTTACCCTCCGTCCGTCTGTCTGTCAGTCCGCCCGTCCACAAAACTGGATCCCGCGATAACGCAAAAAGTACTAAAATATTTTTATGAAACTTGATATATGGATAGATGGCAGTATGGAGATGTCTTTTTCTTTTCTTCCTATGTTGAAAATTCTGGTTGCTATAGCAACAAATAGTCTGAAAATATGGCAAATTTAACACATAAACTGGATGAAGTGATAACTCAAAAAGTACTAAAAATATTTTTATGAAATTTGAAATATGGGTACATGGCAGTCTGGAGATTATGTACATCTTTTTCTTTTCTTCTTATGTTGAAAATTCTGGTTGCTATGGCAACAAATAGCCTGAATTTCAAGATTTCTGATTTAAATTTTTCAGTTCTTTATTTCTTAATTTGTTTACTTCAATCTTTAAATATAAGTTTCTGGTCATCAACCACATCATATGTGACAAGGTTTACAACTCTAGCACAAAATTATCAGTATTACCTCCCTTGAACTTAGAACTTTTTATGAAAAAACATGTTGTCTTTTAAATAACGTCTTTATTTCCTAATGTATCTACTTCAAACTTCATATATGTTTCTTATTATCACTCAACATTTTTGAGAAGGTTAAATACTCTAGCAAGACTATTTCCAGAATTATGTCCCCCTTGAACGAGAAATTTGTATTTTTTACTCCAACTTCTTCATTCCTTATAGTATTTACTTTAAAATCCCACATTGTAATAATATGACAAGGTTGTATAAACATAATTTCCTTACTAGGCAGGGAAACTTAACACATTACTGTGATATAGACAAACTTAGAACTTAGTTCATTCATGTCATTCATTCACTGGTAAAATTGAATGGCCAATGGCCCATCAGAATGTTGCTGGGGTTCAAACCGGTAGGGGAATTATGGATTGCTTGCAATACTATGATAATTGCTTGTTTACATAAATACCAACTGGGGTTATGTGATGAATATATATTTTGATTACTTCAATTGATGATATTCTAAACATTAGCTAACCAAAAATGTTACGTGAAAATAATAACATAGAATAATTTCCTGGCAAAATGTGCTAACTAGAACTTACGGAAAGAAATATCAATAATTTCTTTACGATTTAGTGCCCCGCGCCAGCAGGCGCGGAGCTATTTGTGTTTACTATCTTTTTTTTGTCCATGGGCCCGGATTTTAACAATAAATCCCTTCGATTTACAGCTAAAAATAAATTCGGATTTAAAAATTCCTTTCGATTATTATATTGGTTCCCCTTTCTGTGAATCGCAGCGTGTCATAATAATTAATGAGAACCGGAAAGCAGTTCTGCTGTACATGAATTCGAAAGCTATAAATAGCTTTTAATGCTACACTTAGTAATAAATTTGTTATTTCCCCTTTTTAGTAGTACATGAAATTATAATTTGTTAAATTTTGAATTACATTTACACACAGCATATTAAGTATACTATTAGATATAAAGAAGATTACAAGCATAAGACTTTTACAATTTTGCTTTTGCTTTTGATAATTATTCTTAATTTATATTTATGAAACAAAATGTTTAAATATCTTTGACTTGCAAAGTGAATTTTCTCATACCTGCCTAAAATTCAGGTAACAGTCTTCTATCAGTATTTGTATATTTGTTACAATTATAATAATAATAAAAACAGACTTATATTTTTATCAACTTATGTTACTGACTACAGTAGTAACACAAACAGAACACAGTACAGTCATGTCACATAACATTTACAAGTCTTGTAAGTCTTGTTTGTATTCAATGGAATTACTTTCCTTACCAGGTAGGCATCAGTGAAAGCATTTTTTTCAAATTAAATATCTTGCCCCTCTTTTTAATTATGGATAGTGCATTTATACAAAAAATGGTTAACAAAACATTCGGAAAAATCTACAATAGTACTTAATCTGAATATAACACGACCTGTGCGTAGGAATAATTTGGTAAGGTATCTGTAATGAGCGCATTTTTTGCGCGGAGCTTCTCAGTTGCTGCATTGCAGCAACATTTGTACTTGTTAGGTTAATAGTTATATCATGATTATATTGAATTGTCATCTGTTCTTGAGCATTCAGAAAACTCTCATTTATATCTTTCCTTATCCTGCTAAACATTTAAAAATTGTTTTATATATATTTACTGACTTAATGGCGAACAGTACAGACGATGATCACACGGCACAGGCATGCAGTTTGTTCTTGGTCTGCCCTGGTCGCATTGAAAGATTATGTTAATTCTATAACAATCAAGTTTAAATGAATAAGACGAAAACCAAATCTAATACTTTATTCATTACTGCATATGCATTTTGTAAAAATGCTATTTTCATTGCAAAGCCTCCTGTTACAAGTTCAAATTGCTATGAAACTATGAAAGATTC